AAACATAAACAAAACAGCACATAGTGTATGAAATCACAACCTCAAACTCCACATATTGCACATTACACATATTGTGTAAGCAAAGAAGTGCAGCAATGTGCCAATAAAGGCAGTGTTGATGAAAACTGCAAGGTAACAAACATGTATGTAAACAATACAGGATTTAAAATATGTATTTTTTATTAAAATACAGACAATGCACTTTGGTGAGTGATACAGAATGTAAACATAACTTTATTTAAAAGAAAACTTTACAGGGCTCCTTTAAGTTTTAGTAAATTTAGTAAATATTTTTCACTGCTGCGAGGAGGACACTGATGACAAGCATCTTTTCTGACCACGTGTAAAGATATTGAAATTTAACAATAACTACATAACAACAGGCACAACAGAAGAGATGTTTGTTCACAGAGAACAATGACCTCATCCTTATGGTTCCTCTTTCTCAGGCCTCTTTACCACAAACACAGAGTGGATATGGATGAATTTGCCTTTTCTGAACGCTGTCCGACTTTCTTTGACTTTCTGTCTGTTCATGTGCTTTTAGTCGTGCTCATGTTTGACGAGCATGCAGACGCAGGGTGTGTATGTGATACCAGCACTTTCACACCTTCAAGATGCGCTGACAGAATAGTTGCCAGGCAACCGGCCATCTGTAGGCATGAGCTGTTCACGTGCACAAGAAGGACAGTATGAAATAAATATGATTTATTATAAAGTGTTGTAGAAACAGAATTATGATGAATTTAAAAAAAACCACGTAAATAGAGCAAGTTGGTGACGCTAACTTAGCTTAGCACAAAGACTTGAAACAGGGGGTGTTACTCTGCACTGTGACATATCAGACTCTGCCACCTGATTAAAAAAAACAGCTACACTGCCGCTGCAAACCTTATTTTAAAGCACTGTTTGTTGGGGGAAGCAGAAACTTATATGTTTTCAATATGCTTTGTTTGTTTCTTTTAATTCATTCAAAAATAACATTGATTTATAAAACCATTTTCAGACTGTCCTATGCGTGAGGGCAGACATGATTCCCATTAGTAGCTGGGAGCTAAAGGTACCACACCGTATACTAATTCTGTTTGATTATTTGTAAACACAAACATAATGTGCTGTACCATGGAACTAGAGGTGTAATTGATCAATAATTTTTATCAACACAGCAGACAGTGACCTGCTTTAATGATTGGTTGAATGAAAGTAGGTCTTCCTGTTAACTCCCTGTTATTGTCAAATACACCTGTGTTAATTTTCAAAGTTTATTGATGTTACATTATATTTATTGGGATTTACTTTAGACTTATATTTGCATTGTTCAATAAATGTTTTTTATGAAAGGAAATACTTTGTTGAAGGGTCGGATTTAGAAAACTGGCTGCTACTTGCCTACCGTTGCTCTATATGCAGTATGAAGTGTCGACCAAACATTGTCAGATTAAGTGCTTACACAGAGACCTATACGCAGCTATCAAAACCATTCTTCTTCTAATATAGGGAGACAATTTGTGACCCTATTTTTAATACTTCTTGGTTACCCTGGCAAGCATACTGTCAGTGGTGCTAATGTTAGCTTTTAGCTAGCTTAAGCCAAAGCCAGCCAGTGAATATTAGCAAACGCTGGCCTCAGCTTTCTGCTCTTTGTCTAGCCTGTGTGGGATGAAGTGGATGTTGAGTCTCCATCAGGGATTGTTGAGCCACATGTTTTGCACATTGATGTCCGTTTTGTTATTTTCTGCAGTCTTTAACACGTGATAATGCGGGGTATCATTTCACACCTTTTCTTCCTGCTCACACAGATGATTGTTTGTTGTCAGTTTCAAAGTCCCGGCAGCCTTATTAGAAATGAAGAGTAGATCCACTGCACGCTGTTTATAACACCATATTTAATTGTTGTAGTTTGTTAATGTATGTATCTGTCTGTACTCTGTATGATGTATTTTTTAAACTTGGTTCAACAATCATAAATATTTAATGAGCTTTTTTTTTCACTAATTCATTGTTTTCTTGTCCCTGACATTTGGTCTTCACAGAAGTGAACCAAATGCTGAGATAAAGGCACCGTGTATATTTTTTAAGGGTTCTAGCACGTCTTAAAATAAAGAATGCATTGAGTTCATAAGCAATTTTCTACTGGCTTTCTTGCCTTATTTGCAGCAACAATGTTGCTTTTTGATCTAATAATTTTGATTTTTTTCAAAAATTTGTTCTCCATTTTAATGAACCTGAGATGAACACTTGGATTAACAAAGAAATATCCTTCAGGATATTGGGCAGGATATTTTGTTGTTGTTATTATTATTATTATTATTATTATTTAATCTATTTTCTATGTAATATTTAGTATTCTCTGCGCAATAACACTTACATTTAAATCTTAAATCTATCTATACAAATATAGAGTCAAAGTCAAGTGACTCGAGTCCACACTTTGTTTAAAGAGTGTTACTTTAATAAAATAGAAATTATATCAACTGGTCTGCAAATGTCCAGATTACAAACCAAAATGCTAAAACGTCAACAAACAAAAAAAAATCACACAATCACACAAAAGATCATTTTTAAACTTTAAACACCACAATATCAGCCATTAAATAATTAAACAAACATATCCTTCAATTACAATGCTAAATTGCAGTGCATCCCTCAACGTGGTATAGCTGCTCAATAGAGACTGCATAGGAGTAACGTCAGTGTGCAAGTCTACTGTGAATGGAGTGAGTGCAAGAGAGATGAAGATGTTCAGAGGATGTTGTGAAGGAGAGCGATGGCCAGAGCGAGGAGGGTCAGCGAGGAGGTACAGACAGACGCAGAAGATCCAGACTTTATGAAGGGCTCTGTGTTCCTGAGCATCCAGTCCTTTTCCTCATGTAGTCCCTGTTTGTCCAGCTCAGGACCCATCAGCCTCCGGATGGTCTCATAGTATGTATTCAGCCACTGAAGCTGGAGGAAGAAAAGACCAATTTCAATATGAACTCACTAAAAGATGTAAACTGTTGGCATGTAAAATAAAACGTGTATAATTGTTTGTTATTTCAGATAAAGTGGATTAACGAACTAATTAGGAGTAAACAGTGGATAATGCACATAATGAGTCATATAATAATACTGTATCTTCCTGCTCTTAGGTCATTCATGATCTAAATAAATGAGCGTTTTTAAAAGTATTTTCGGGTAAATGTACTTCATTTATCAAAAGATCAATGGTTCTGCAGATGAATAAGTCCTCTGACTATTATTATATTTGGCAGTATTAATTGTTAATACTGTTACCATGGCAACGGCTATAAATGTCTATGCAGTAGCTGGTTTTTCCTTTAAATTTGCTATATTTTTGTTTTAATCTGTATTTTTTTATTTTTTTTTACTTCATTGCTGAAAACATCATTGAATGACAGGCCCAGGACAGTTTGACTACACCAATGTCATGAGATGATAAAAAGGGTCGGAAAGAAGACAATTTTATTTTTTTACTTTTTCTCTAATCTCTGCTTTTTTTGTGAGATAGAGGAGAATTTGACCTCTTTGGTACTGAAACAGTTATTTAAATGAGACCATCTGAGAAGTTTAGAGGGAAAATATCTGTTAGTAGAACTGCTGACAACTCAAAGATGTATGAAATGCGACAAGGGCCCAACCAGACACTGATTTTAATAAGGGGTCAAGGGTCAAACAGGTTAGAAACCACTGGTTTAATCTCAACTAATGCATTATATTTTATACCATTTTAAAAAGGTATTAAGTATTAACTAAAGATGTAGAGTAAAATACTTCCCTTCCTAAATTGTAGTGAAGTAAAATTAGCATAAAAAGTACAAATATAAAACTGAACTTAAGTAAAGTATTTTTTTATTCTCCACCACTGATCTTAATATCTTAATTCTGTTGAAGTTGAGTTCTTAACCACAAACATGTGTGCTTACGTGTATTTTTAAGTTTTCCCTTTAGACAAAAAGAAGAGAGAAGTTGATTTCACATGTGGTTTTGTTTTCTGAAATAATGTTTTCATCTCTGCGCTGCAGAGGAGCATAGACCTGAAGCGTCAAGGGGGATTTTAAGAGGAAACCAGCACTCTAAAGCAGGAAAACGAGAGACTCGGTTGGTGACACTCTCTTAAACGGAAAAGTATTTACAAATTAAAACAGGAAGCTGATCATATCTTTGGGGAAGTAAACTTATGTTATGTTATAGCTTGTAACTAGGTTTTAATGAGTTGGGTAAGCACTTTTTAGTACCTCCCTTTTAAAAAGTAATGATGATGAATTTCCAGTGACTTCCTAACATACAGTTTTCTCAACCAGAAGTTGATTATGCAATAAAATACTGTTTCTTACCTGTTGTGAGCTGAGGAGAGATGTGTCAATCAGCTTTCTGTCATATGGAACCAGCGACACGGTGTCAAACGTCAAGTAGTTATTACCATACTGAGGGAAAGAAAAGCACATTTACAAAAACATCACCTTCACTTATATCAAGCAATAAAAGCAGGGAATCACTGGCATCATTCTAGATGATCAACAAATCTTTGTTTTGGTCAACCACTCTGTATCTACCTTCGTGTGTACAGGTACAATCACAGCAACATCTTCAATCCGGATCCCAAAGTCATTCTCCTTGTAATATCCAGGTTCTTTAAGAAAATCATTATCAGTTTGGTATTTTTCAGTATAAATCTAACGGGATCTGTACAAAATAACCACTAATATTAAAAGGGTAGATGTACAGGAATGAGCCAAGGCTTCAGCCAACACCTCTTCAGTTAGTATAACCTTGCTGTGTCACAGATTATTTATTTATTATTTAGTTACTTGTGTATTAGAGTTGTATAAGTTGAAAACGACAGAAATAAACTGAACTCATCTTTCTACATTCTAACATTTCAGCCATGAAATGCAAAGTTAATTTAGTTTCATTTCCTTAAACTCATCATCATGTTGTGTTATCTGTCACGGATGTGAATTTAATTTGAAAGAAAGAAAAAGAAATCTCACCTATAGACGTGAACATGCCCGATCTGAAGGGTATGTTGTTGCTCTGAAAGCCAACTGGCCCTAGAAAGACATTATAATAAGACACCATTAAAATACAGATTACAAACCTTAAAAACATTTAATTTGTGTACATTCATCACCATAATTTGTGTCAATACTATGACTGCTTCTTGCGATCTTTTCAGGAACTGTATTTTATGTGTATTATGTACTGACGTGTTGCCTTTTTCAGTAAAAGAAATGTATTACATACAAAGTTAAAGCTGCAACAAGCTCCTTTGCTGCCTCTCTCTGTTTCATATCATTATAAACTGTATCCCTGTCTAATTTGAACTGCTGATGCAACAATGCATTTAAAGCTGTCACTTGATAGACATTATTCACTATTTGTTAATATTTTACAGGATTTTAATCTGCAGATTAATCTATAGTGAAAAGAATCATTAGTGGCAGCTCTACATACAGGGGTAATCTGAGTCAATAATATTGTTTGTTCAAGTTTAAAGTAACTTCACAGATCGCAGCAATCTCTCTGTGGCTCATTCTTATAAACTGAGTACTCAGCTCATTTTGATTCAAGGGTCTAATGTGTCCACATTACAAGTGGTTCCATTACCAAATTAAATGTTTGAGGCTCAAACATCCAAACTGCTTGTCATTTAATTAATTTAAATTTAAAATTAGATACTGAAAGTCTGCCTTGAAACCTGTTTTAGTACGATCGATTTATGCTTCTAATTACATTTTAGTGGCAGATGTCAGTATACTGAATACAATGATCAATGTCATTCTGGGGTTTGAAACTATGAAAGACGTATAGAAAATAAAAAGAGAACATACACTCATGGACTCCAAAGTAGTTTCCAACACCATGACCTGTGCCGTGGCCATAGTTCAGGCCCACCTCCCACAATGCCCGGCGACCCAGCATCTCCATGTTTGAACCTGTAGATAAAAAAAACAAAACATATAGAGCTCGAATCAAGCATCCTGCTGCAGATACATTACTGAAATTCACCCTCCTGATGATACTCTGTTTGTGAGCCTGTGGCAAAACAGTGGTCTCTAGTGGGGAAAGTATGAAAGGTTTCAGGGTGGAATAATTTTAAAACATACAAACAAACAAGTTTTTTATTCTCACCTCTAGTTCCTGAGGGAAAAATGGTTCGAGATATCTCAATGTTACCCATGAGCACTCTAGTGAAGGCCTCCTGTGAAGCGAGGCATGTGGTTAATGACAGGGAAATTGTATTTTAAAGGAATATTTTGGGTTATGTGGCATTCAGTATTTTGTAAAAGAACATCGCTGCAAATACTTTTATGAATAAAAGTTTCTTTGCTTGCTTCGTTGCTTTTTTCTGTAGATAAAGAAAACTCTGACGTAGTGTGGATGACTAACCATCTCCCTCTACAGAGATAATGTAAATATCCCTTCAAACATTCATACTTTCAGGATAATATCTGAAGTGTTACCCGTTGCATTGGAGTCGGGGTTCCCCAGTGAACAGTCCGAGTGATGTCAGTGGTCCCGTCTCTGATAGTAAGTGAGAGACAGGATGACTCATTTCAAATGCAAGTGATGTGAAGTGAAACTGGGGATTCTGTAAGCACAGTGTATTTTTACTCACAGATACTGGCCACCAGAGTCCACCAGGTACATCTCATCAACTGTCAACCTCCGGCTTGTTTCTGCTGTTGGGCTGCAACATAGAGAAAACAGGAAATAACAGCTGCACTGCAACAGCTCTCTGATGGCTGCTGTAGTGCACTTAAAGGTGTTTTAGCACATTTAGTTCAAATAATTTACATTAATGATGACCATCATTTCAAATGCAAATTATATTTTAAATTCTTAGATCAATTTCTCCCAGGTGGCTTTGTTTGGAGGCATTTTACTTCTAGTGGAGAGTTCACAACAACAGGGAGAGGGGGATGACAATCAACAAAGAACTGGAGACATTGTGATTGCATGGCTGGTATCATAAACTCCCAGATGACCAGGACGCCCCCTCTCTTTTCCCTACACTGTGTGTGGGACTCAGCATCAAGTCCATTCATTCCTACTGCAAAAGTAAATATTAAAAATTAACGCACAGATATAGTTTCTTTAAAAAAAGGTTCAGTAATTTCCTAAAAACATCTTGGCACTGTAGTATCTATCAAACATGACGTCAGCAGGATTAAATATTTGTTGGGGAGTATTTTCAGCAGCGGATTAGTACACATTTGGTGCACTCGAGGGTGTTTACACAGCAGGACAATGTATGTGGGATAGACTCAAAATAAACCACATCCAAAGACCAAATTGTTGGTTTTCGCCAACATAATCCTTTAATTATGTCTTTTTTTAGTGGCCATGTTTTGCTTATTGTTTGCGGACATGAATGCAGCAGTCAGCTCTCTTGGATGTCTGAGCTTCTTTGAACAGACCAACAAGAAGAAGGTATAAAAATCTGTTTAAAACATATTGTATGAAAAAGGTTCAGCTGTAATGTTTGGAAAGGTTGTGATCTAAAGACAAAGAAGAGCTTGTTATATCCACGTATGATCTAAATTCAAAATAATACAATATATCAATATATAATAATATATAATATAATGATATGAATAAATCTTACCTGTAGTGGGCAAGTGCAGCATTGGGTCCGCTTGCAGAGATAGTCTCAAAGCTTGGGCCTCTGCTGTCTTTCTGTTTGCTGTAATGATGTTTATATTAGCTGTGAAAAATTTCACACATTTCACACAATTCTCTGTCTGTATTGTGTATTTTAAACAATCATATATACTTAACAGGCTTCTTTTTTACACATTCAGTATTTTCTTCTCCCTGACTCTTGACCATTGTTCTATTAGCTCTTTGATTGTTTTAACCTGTGTCCAGGTCTTTATATCTTAAATAATAATCTAAACTTTAAAAATAATGATTTAATTTAGGTGTCTTCACAGAAATGAATGAAATGCTGCGATATAGGACTGTGTGTGTTTTTTATTCCATCTCTAGTATATACGTGTGCACTCACCTGCGACACTTATTGACGTATTCTGCAGCCGTCAGCTCAGTCTCCTTCCCCTGTGGCACTGCCTTCTCCAGCCACATCAGCAGCTGCATGACAGCGACTGCGTCCCTCACCTACACAGAGCCACACAACGACATACTGACCAGGAGAGTCTCGGCATCAATCACAACGACACTAAACATACAGGCTGGCAGTTTACACGACATGTTGCAAGGCTGTTCAGAAGTCTTTGGACAGAGTAATAAATAAATCAGAGCTTGTGTTCACTGACACGTTTAAGCTCTCAATGAAAACCATTCATAAATGTCCCACCAGTCTGAGAGTGACGACTGATTAATGAATTCCTGGAATGATAATGGTCTTACATAAATGCATTAGAGGCTCATATGTGGTCTTGAAAAACTCAGCTTCATACATTACAACCTTTCTTTAGAAGTGTTTATAACCATTTGTGCTTATGTGCGCATGTACATGTGCTTGTGTATAACCGGAGTATGTCAGTGTGCAGATGACATACGTGAGCGTCCCTCAAGATTCGCTGCTCAGTCTCATCTTTCACTGCTTTAGTCGTCAACACAGGAGAGTAGGAGCTCGTCAGTAGTTTGTCCTGCATGATGAAAAAATACCATAATAATTAATACAAACACACAATTTAAACACACATGGATTATTTCTATTGGTACTGGAAGCTGATGATTCTCAAAACGGTGCAGCTTGGGGATCCGCAGATAAATTGCCAAAAGTCACTTAAATCTGCATTACTTTATCTTTTTGGACAGTTTTTGAATAAATATATGTAACTGCCTTAAGTTCAAAATAAATCATCAAAAATATTTTTATGTTTTCATGAAAAGAAAAGAGGATTTTGAGACAGTTAACACAGTTGCACAAGATTAATAATTGGTAAATTTATTCTTTATTTAATTTTGTCTTTAAAGATGCTGATACACTCTGTAGAGCTGTAGAACTGCACAGTCTGCTGATAAATCTTTATGGGTTTGTTTGATCCATTGTCCATATGAAAATAATGATTAGTGCATAATTCAAAACTCAGTTTATTTAAAATATTTATCGCATTATCATCCAACAAGACACCACAGCTGCCTTCATAAAATACTGTACAGCAGTATGTACATAACAAGAAGAAAATTGTGCAGTAGAATACATTTAATAAAATATCTGCATACCTCTGGTGTAATGAGCTCATAAAGTGCGTAGTTTGTGTACTCCGTGCCAATCCACACTTTAACGCCAGGCTGGGCCACATATTGTTTCAGATCCTCTCTGACAGTGTCGTAGCCTTTTAGCTGCACACAGAGGGACCCAGTACAGGAGGAGTTCAGGTACTTCTTCAAATCATCTTTCACTCTGTCCATGTGGACAAAGAGCCTGATAGATGTGGAGATGTGGTAGAAGGGAAAGTACAAAAAGTGGTTCATAAAAGAAGTGGTTTATATGAGAAACCTGCTGCTGTATATGTCCTCATATACTAGTATTTGTGTTGGAAGTTGTGTGAACAAAGACAGAGAAAGACAATTTGAAAGAAATCCAACATGTTCACTCATATAATCCCGGAAAGACTTACCAGATCTTATCCATTGTGAGCAGTGTGTAGGAGTAGAAGAAGGGGTTGTACGGGATGTCGTTGCCACGCAGATTAAACAGCCCTAGAAATAAAAAATACACACAACCCCTGACTCTCAGCAGCAGCAGCAGCTTGCACATTCATTTAAATCAGATCCACCTGAGCCAAGACATGCTGTTTGCAGCTAATGTTTGTATCAGATGTGCGTGACTTTGTCTGTGTCCCTGTCATTGAAAACAGACTCACTAATTCTGAAATCAGAAGTCAGGAAAGACCAGCAGTCCTCTTTTGAGGGTTATCAGGAAGATGCTTTTAAATAATTCCCTGCTCATTTGCAAAGTGCTCAACTGAACATCCAGGGAGCATTCAGTAAATAAATAAATAATATATGTTAATAATATTACTGCTGATAATAAATGACTGTCAACTTCAGTGGACAGATAAAACTACATAAAACTTTATTTTAAATGTTTATATCTGTCTGTTTGCCCATTAACAAACTGTTCCTGTATTTTTGTCATGCAACGATCTGATTAGTGTATTTCCACCATAATCCTTCACATCAGACTGCGCCTCCTCAGGCTGCAGCTCTATCCCAAAAGCCTCGGTTGTATTTGTGCTTTGTTCGCCTCCTGTCCTTTTTATTTTGTTGAAGCAGCTATTTGAGGTACTACAGCCACTGGGCAGTGCACAAAACGAGAATGAAAAAGAAAAAAAAACATTTTTGATAACTTTTCAGGTATTTTTGAACATTTTGTTGATTGTCCTTTTAGAAACTTGTATCCATCTTATTTTATTTTCAAACCATTACTTTTAAGTGTTACATAGTTCAGGTTCTTCTTCTCATTTCTGTAGATAATTTAAGCATTGTGATAATATTATCATATGGTTCTGCATTTCCTATTTGCATCTTCTCTAAAGTTAATACTGCAAATAAAAAAACTGTCCTTTTTTGCAGTCATTTTAACAGAAGAAACGTGTTTCTGCAGACAGTCTTTCTGTTGTGGTGAAGAGCTACAATGAACTGAATGTTTAACTTGATAATAGTACAGACGGCAATGAATACATTCACATTTTGAGCAACTTTAATGCTTTTAATGCATTTTAAAGAAAGCACATATCTACTGCATTTTTCAGTGAACTCAGAAGTGGTTCAATATTAATCTTTCTAAATCAGCAACATGATTTATTGAAACATGTTTGAACAGCTTTTATGGACAACGTTTAAATTACTTACAGGCTGTTTCATCCAGTGCTGATAGCAGAAGAGCTGTTGGTTCATAAGGATTGTCCCTTATCTGATTCCGTATGTGCTCCACTTTCATTTGCCAGGACCTTTCTGCAAACACACACATTGTACTTTTATTTGCACGTCCATATGGGATTAAACACTTTTTGGCCATTAGAGGGCAGCACAACAATATGAAAACACAACACATATCACGTTATAAAGCTGATATAGTGGGTATGTTACACATGCAGCAGAGAAAGAGCAACATTATCGTTCATGTGGAGTTGTGTTTGTGTCCACCTGATGAAAGTAAGTCCAATATTTTCTCTTCTTTGGTCTTCACCAACTTTTGAAGCAACTATTTGGGCCTAAAGTTATTAAATGTTCCACTGTGTTCACCAGCAAATCGCTGACTGTGTCTGTCTGCCGTTTGGTGCTGGGAAGGTAGTGTACAGTGGGTGTATTAAAGCGAATAAAGAGGGAGGTGAGAGTGAATGGATACATTACCTAGAGCAACACCTTTCACATTACACGTAGTCATTTGACCTGTTATTCATATAAAAACATTGATTAGTGCAACTTTTGTGCCTTCAGTAAATGTAATGCTTCCCAGTAATTGCAGCCACACATCAGTGTTTTTCCAGTAACCTGGTCCTTGTCTTGGACCGACACTGCTGAATGTAACAACAACAAGCTTTCATAGCCAAACTATGAGACAGCATTTATAAAAGACTCAAAACCCTGTATGCTTTTATCCAGATTGTAATCAAATGTATACACACACACACACACACACACCCATTGACCATTAGGTTTATGATGCTCTCCATTTGTTCCATTTGTCTTTTCTCCGACCATAAAAACTAATAAGGCAGATTGGCGTCCAGACAACTTCCTTTTCCAGACGCTTTTCCATTCTCTTAGCATTTGATCAGTCAACCATCCATAAAAACATGAACAGGCTGTTTATGGCTGTTTGTGGAGTCACTTATTGCTGTCTGTTTGCAGGTATTTATCAGTTCATAGATTACAGGCAACACAAAGGCAGACCAGCAGACTGCAGTGTGTCTCTGTGTGTGTGTGTGTGTGTGTGTGTGTGGGTGGGTGTGTGTGCAGTACAGACAACACATGTGTAAGAAAACCCACGTATGACTCTGCTGGGCAGGTGGGTGATGTTATCAGGTGGGATGGGTGGTCTTTCCTTCCACACTTCGTCGACCAGGTTAAGAGGAATAGACTTGAGGCTGCGATTGCTCGACTCCAGATTGATGTTGTAGTTCTCCTGCGTTTCTAATGGAGGAAATTGCAGATGATTACACACACTGAAGCGAATCAATCACAAGTAAACAGTCTGTGTGGCGTCTGAAGGCTCCATCAATAATTTTCCATCTACTCGGGCGAGCACTTTATTGATGTTAACCTGGACTGACAGGAGGGATGGAGAATAGAGACTTACGGAGGGAGAAGAGGAAGGGATCAAAGCCGATCTCGCCGCCTGCTGGAACCTCAGCGATGAGCCACTCTGCTACACTGCTGATGGACACTGGAGAACATCAAGCATGACAGACTGTAGTCAGGTTATTATTGACTTTAGAGGATGTGACAGAATAAATGCAGTTGGCGTACCTGTGGAGAATATAGTGATGCAACATAACAAATGTTCAAAATGTTTGGTTTCTGCCCATCAGAAGAGTATTGACTCCAACGAGCACAAATGACTTGAAAATGAAGATATTAGGCAATATGTCAGTTTCAGTAAACTACAGTAAAACCTGTTTTATCAATGTAATTATTATGTATCAGAGAACATAAATGATTTTTGACTAAACAAATCCAAATGTTAAGGTTCAAGGGTGCAATAATAAACCTGTTATATTGTCTTAGGGCAATCACCTGGAAAGACACAAATGATTACATTTACAAGCAGTTAAAGGTCAAGACTAAAAGATTAAAACCAACTGTGTTAGTCCTTCTCTCAATACTTTGACTTACCCTGTCTGTGGCACTCGTTGCAAGCACATGTGTTCTCACTGAATATATACATCTTGGTCACAAATATATACTTTAATTCCTAAAAGAAAATGTTACTAAATGCATTCGTAGGGGAATATTCTTAGCAGCGGATCAATACACTCTAGTGAGTATATACAGCACCTGGACAGTGTATGTGGGATCAATTCAAAATAAACTACAGTGGTTTATTGTAATGAAGCACCCAGTGCAGCAGTGTTGGTAATTTTTGTGCAATATTGACAATACTATTCAGTGGGATCAACTCACACCTGTGTTACAGTAACAAAATTTTTGATTTTGGTTCATGGACACTAAGAAAAATACAGAATTTCACAAACCTTGTAAACAACAAATACAAAAAACACAAATACATGTCTAATACATGACAACAGAACTAAGTCACAACATAGCATAGCATAGCAAGTCATTTATAAAAAGCAAATTTGTAGCCAGTATCTCCAATATTATCTGAATCATACAATCTGAATTGTAAAACTAAAATGAACACTGTCAGCTCATTTTTTAAAAACAATGTTCAGCATCATTGTGGTGCCCTGGTGGCGTCGGGTTAAAGCACTGACGATGAACCACAACATTGCCAGTTCACATAAGGCCAGGGGCCTCTGCTGCTGCATATCATCCCTCTTTTATCTCTCCCCTCGTTTTCTGTCATCTCTACTGCGGCTCCAGGGGGTTGAGCCATCTTTGTCATGATGATAGGTGTCAATGCAAGTCATAAATTGCCAGTTGCCCTACAACAAAAGCTGCTATGCATTAAATGTTGTAGCATCATATGTTCATTGTTAAAGGTGTTTTTATAAGACATAACATGAAGCGTGCTCAGTGTGTTCATGAGCTATTTTTATCATGTACATCCTGTAATAATAGGTGAAACATTTGTCTGGATATTTTTGGATCATCAAAACCACAAGTATTTGATCGGAATCCATGTGTCCTGCGTTGCCATAACAAGTAATCAAAATATGATCACCCGTACCATCTTTTTCCAGCTCCCAGTTGCAGTCCATCTGTCTCTCAGCTTGAACCCAGTAGCGGCTGTCTGTCCACAGAGTGGCCTTGGTATGAGTAACTACGGCAGTGCCTGGGGAGAGGCAGGACAGCAGCTGTGTTATGGAGAGTGCAGCGGTGAGAGTGAATTACAAACAACCATAAATGTCAGAGTTGACTTAGAACAATGCGTGATGGGCCAGCTAATCTTGAAAAATGTATGCATGTGTATTGGGCGAAACAGGAAGGTTAAGAAGTAACACTGAGGAACATGGTGATGTGTGGTGGGTATATAATCAAGGCTTACATTATCATTCCACTGTCGTACCCTCACATGGGTCACTTAAGTAGCAACAGCTGAGTAGATCCCTGAATCTAAATTCTTAATTGAAGCTCAGAGAATGCGACTTTTCTTTATGGAGTTTGGCCTGGCGTAAACAGGCCTTTACTGATTGTCATCTATCTTCTGATCCTTTCATCCATGCAACAGCTGAGTACAGAAATACGAACGATCATTAATTCTGTTCATCATTATTGCGTGAAAACACCTCTTGTGATTTACAGTAATGGTCAAGTTTCTCTGCGAAAGAGAGCGGCGATGAATGGAAGGATGCAACGATGAAGTGAGTTAAAGCGATAAAACTAGACGAGCGAGGAGCAGTCTGTATGCTGAGGATGTGGGATGAAAGTAGAGGAGCTGCATGACCGCGGCACTCAGGCGTGGGGAGTTGAGTCATGGGGAGGAGGAGGGGGATGAAGAAGACAGGGAGGCAAAAAAAGGATTGTACCTGCGGAGCCTGTAAAGCCACTCATGAAGGCCACCCTGGCGTCACGTGGTGCAATATACTCACTCTAACAGAGAAACAGAGTAGGTTAGTGTCTTACACAGCTACACACACACAAAAAAGGTTTGAATCCAGATGAATTAATTATGATGGACAGCAGATGTACCAGGTGAGCGTCAGTGCCAGGGATAATGTAGGCAGAGATATTCAGGGGAAGCATTTGCTCTCGTAACGCCTGCAGCCGGAGAGTGGTATTTACTGCTGTGCTGGGGAGGTACTGCAACACACACACACACACAAAAGAGGGAGAGAGGGAGAGACAGAGTGTGAAAAACGTCTTCTGATTTAATTAAAACCTGAAAGAACTGCTGATTCATCCCTTTCTGTATCTCCCACTGTAATCATTAACTGTAGTGCATGAGCAGTAATCATTAACTGTAACTGTATAACTATATATATAACTCATGCAACATGTTTCATGATAGGAAAATACTGTAAACTTTATGACGTTTGTCAATATCAACCAGTTAATAATTCAAATTGCCTCCATTTACAAGTTGATCTTACCGGTGGGGACAGAGAGCAGTTCCTCTCAGTTCGCTCACCAATGGTGTTTCCTGAAATGAGAAACACACAGTGACAAGAGCCCTTGGAGTGACACTTGGCTGTGACCTAGCCGAGCTACGTAAGCACATTTTCCAAAATGTGTGGCTCTTTTTTTTGTTACTTATCGTGCTGAATCTTTTCAGACACTGTGACTGTCAGAGCAATCTGTGGAATCAGTGAAGCTAAAAGCTTATGAGGACAAAAACTCCTGGTCAGTCAAAAGGACACTAGACAAGCTCAGAGACCAGACGAGGCAGTTTTTAATCACATTAACCACAACTTGTTCAGTAAATCAGCATAGTTCAATCATGTCCATGTTAAGAGATGATCTGTTAAACATGAAAAAAGGAAAGAGTAAATGAGACTAATTTTATGCAAAGAAATCCTGATGAGTAAACCAACAGGCACAGAAAGAGCAGATGGCAATTTTTTATGCCTCCTTTGCAAGCTGAGTGTTTTACAGTGTGACACAATCAGACGGATTGCATGTAGAACAAACTGTTAAATATGATCCTTTATTTTTACATTTTACACCACTTCACAGCTCCTGTCATCACGGTAAACAAGTAGAAACACTGATCATCACACCAGTAAAGGTCTCAGTAAAGGAGCGCACAGATGTGACTCACAGACAGATCAGTGAGGATAAAGACAAACTTTTTACCTGTTAGTGCCGCCAGAGACAGAGCCAACATCCAGACACAGGAAGGCATCTTGGCACCACAAGTCCGTCACGAGCAGATCCACACACAGAGTGGCTACAAAGCAGGTACTCCGATGTGTGTGCAGCGTATGTGAGAAAGTGTGTGTGGGTGTCTGGTGAAAAAGTGTGTGTGGGTGTCTTCTAGTAAATGCATGACTGTCCTCTCTCTCTCTTAATATCTCTCTCTCTCCTCCTCCTCCTCCTCCTCCTCCTCCTCCTCCTCCTCTGCCACCACTCACTATCTCCTCTCCTTGCAGACCTCTGATAGGAATCATGTGCAGTGGCTTTGGGGGTGGCTCTTGGTTCTCAGAAATATTTCTTTGCTTCTTGACCTAAAATACAGTGTGCCAAGCCACAATGACCACCCACCTGTTTTCTTTCTTCTCCCTGCGTCTCACTGACTTGCCCAATGTTTTTCATTGTATCATAATGCAACTCAGAGGCTGAGGGTTAGGAATTCCCACAAAGATGGAGGTCATCTAGCACATGTGTTTTAGATTTAATTAATTATTTGCACAAATAACACGTGAGATGCCAATGCTGCATTCAAAAGAAACCGTATTTTGCTGAATATTGTAGACAAGATTTTATCTGTGGATGTGTGCAGATGTTGATTTTCGTGTTTTCATTTTCATTTTCATATGTTACACATGAATGCATGAATGTGTATCTGCAGATTGTAATCCTTGTAATCATGCAGAGATTTCCATGGAAAACGTTTGTGCTTTTGGTATTTTTAAATCCTTGTATTCAAGCCAAGTGTATAATGCCACTTAGCTAAAATAAGGAGGAGGAAAGAGGAGGGGGGAGAATGTATTACCAGGAGATTTATTACAGCAACGATATGGTCTGTCTTCAAGCATTTTGGTATATCTTATCTTTTTTTACTGGAATTTGTTTCATGTAATTTTACTCTGGCTCAGATTAAACAGATACATTTAGGTAAATATGCTTTCCTTTGAAGTTTGTTAAGATTTTCTTTATGTCTGTATGTTAAGCTAAGCTCTCCAGCTGATGGCTGTAGCTTCTTATTTAACGTATAGACTCTCAATTAATTATTCCTTTAATGTGTCTGAGGAACCCTTAAGTTTTACCGTTTACTTTTAATATCGTTGTGAAGGACTTTGTGACTTGTTTTTTGGAAAGTGTTCTACAAATAAAGATTATTATTATCATTATTATTTAAACTGACAGGACTCTCATGCGATCACCGGGCAGGTGCACAGCAACTGCAAAACCTCTACGGAGCCGAGGAAGGGTCTGTTATTGCTGGTTTATTAATCTGGTGCACCAGATTTATGCATATACAGCTTGTGATTTACAGACACTGCCACCACCGGATGTGAGTACATTTTTATTAGGTAACACCTCTGTGGTGCACTGGGATCCACTGACTTTGATCATGACTTCAAAACCTGGCAGACTACAGTGCTCTAGTGCTGAACTAATGGGTAATATACAGGGATCACAGAGCTGTATCTCTTACAGTGAGCATGTCTTTTTTCATGTGGTGGTGGGCTGTAAGTAACAAATTACAATTACTCACGTTACTGTAATTAAGTCATTATTTTTCTTGTACTTTTATGAGTATTTTTCAAGCCTGTAATTACAGTATTTATTATACTATGTTATCTACTTAGCTACTTTTAAAATCATAATTTGCTACTGCTGGCTTGCAATCTGCTGCGACCGGCGTCTGTTCTATTTTTCCCCCCACGTTGCACAATGAAAACAACAAAGCACACTGCTGGCCTATGAAAACTATGAAAATACACCCCTGCTGCAGCAGGCACAGATTTGGAGAGGTGACCACACTGACCAGAACAGCGCAGGAGTTGGGAGTAATTTAGGGACTGAAGCGATTCCAGGGGGAACATGAATATCTGTAGTACATTTAATGCTTGTTGAGATATTCCACTCAAAACCACAAACGTCAACCTCTTAGTGATGCAAGAGGAAAAGTCTGGGGATCACTAATGTCAGTAGGATTCATCCTCTGGGGACATTCAGCTTGGCAATCCAATTTAATGGCAATCCATTTTGAAGCTACTGAGGTATTTCAGTCCCAGCCAAAGTGGTGAACCATCACTGTCAATCATAGAGCCACGCCTAAAGAAATAGCTACAGAGACCAAAATATATTTCTGTATTTGAAAAAGAATGATTGTAATTCAGTACCATAACATGTTGTTTATATGTTACTTTAAAATCATGTCTATAAAGATGTGTTTTGGATTTTAGAGCTAGATAAAGCTGCACACTTAGCTGCTGCTAGATAAAGATAAAGCTGCACACATAAATCGGCCGTAAATCAATGTAGTTCCATAGAGTCACCCTAAAAGTAGAACCTGCTTTGTTACTGCTCACAACAGTATTTTTAGATATAAAGTTACACAGTTATTAAGTTGGCCATTTTATTATCAAGTATTACATTCACATCTGATGATTTCTAATGATTTAAAAGCCATCTGTAAAACCCCCCCCACATATTTTACATCTTTAAGGCATTTGAAACCAATTTATACATGGCTCAATGTAGCTCATATTTGAGAAATCCCAACAGCCTAATAACAAAAATACAAAAGATAGAGGAAAATAATGCCGGAGGTGCATTAGGACCTGCTGTTTACTCCAATTTACATTTTGACAGAAGCCTGACTGACTTTAACATTGACCTGAGAGAGCTGTGCCCAAAGAAAAGAAGAAAATCCCAGACTGTTTTCGATGAGAGGCAAAGGGGGACCTGAGGAGAGGTCTGGAGCAGAGCTTCCATGGCACATTTGCAAACACCTGCAGTCTGTTTGTAGCATTGTAAATCATTTCTACATGCTTCTAAAGTGCAGGAGCCCTGAGCTGCCTACATAAGATAGAGGAGTCAGCTGATAGATTTGCTTTGGGTTCACCTGATTGCATCTTACATTTTGACACAAGCCTGACTGACTCCAGACAAGAATAATCTGCCTGTATGTTAATAACGAACAACCCAGGTGTGAGTGTTTTGTCCCACTGACACGCACAGTTGTGATGAAAAGGAGCAGGTGATGAACACGACACCACAGTGCAAATCTTATCCACACATGTTCCATAAATAAGGCTGTTTATCTCACAGCATTTTAAGTAAAGTGCACGGCAGAACATACAGCAACCCTGTGATATGAAAGTGCATATCAGTAAATTGTAGCCCAGTTATCCTACATGAACTATGCTTTAAGGCATGAAGGGATTAAGCGTCATGGTAGTTATCACCGTAATAATATCTACGATTGGTAAATAGTGTATTTGGGTGTATAATGACTGTTTTGTGGGACTTGCTTGTCTTGCTATTAACTTGAGTATACATAATTATCAGGTTTCACTTGCAAAAGAGAGATTGCGTTCTCAGTGAGATGTGGTGAAGTTTATCTAACAAACTGACTAAAATCTAAATATATCGCTATGTCTCAGTGACCTGAGAGAGATTTTGAAGGGGCATCAAAAACCCAGGACTCTCTTTTTGAGGCAGAGGAGACACAAACAAGATGAAAGTTGTAGAGCAGCCTGCCTTTTCCACAGCACATTTGTAAGCACCTGAAGTCATTTTGTGGCATTCTAGGTCCAGCTGCATTATTGGATTTATATAAAGTTTTGTGCAGACATTCATGGTCGCCACAGGGTGAAGTGCATCTTCCAGACCTTCTATATGGACACATGTTCCGCCTGCAAAGTGATGCTGAGACCTGAACTTGGATCCCAAACAGTAAAATGGAAGCAACTGGAAATAATAAATGAATGAAAACAGCAAAAGAGAAATTCAAGGCAGCAGAGTGGTGAGTTTGAAATGACTGTTGTGTACTGATGAATCTGTGGACAAATTATCATCAACAGCAAATTAATTATTCAAATTATAATCCCTTCAAGCATAATGTCACTATAGTGGACAGCTATTTAAAAACAGTTTTCTTGCTTATGTACGGGTCTGGATGCTATTTATAATTACATCAACAACCACAGTGGATGCTACTCTGCCGTCCTGTACACTACCACCCACTGGCCATCTCTATATATCTCTATATTCAACATTTTGAAATATGCAAACACATATAGTATAAAAATATATAACTGGATTTTTTCATATTTATTTTTTACATAATATATAATTTTATTAATTGTTGTTTTTTTAAATACAGTTGTACAAATGGACATGTAAAAATAAATTAAATTCATTTTCCCCATGCCTAAAGAGCAATAAAAACACTTTCTGTGGTTGTCATAATTCATGCATGAAAGGGTTAAGACAGGAGACAGAGATATATTTATAAAACAGGGTAAGCTATAAATCATGGCTTGGCACAAACCGGTTTCAAATAAAACCCTGGTTCTCTCTGCAGTTGGGACAAACGAAGGTCTCTCTCAATCCGGTATTTGAGGATTTATAGTATTCATTTGCACTTAAATGCAGCTTCTCTTCCATCCTTATCATACACTTTGATCCAGCTTGTTCCCAGTGCAGCACTAAAATAAGCCTCAGTAACTACATTACAATGCTTTTGTTCCAAGTGGTCAATATTCAGCGAATAGCTAAGCATGTATGACCAATACTTCTTCTGTTTATAACCACACCCAATTAAGTTAACTATGAGCTCACTAAAGCCTCTCTATTGCTTTGACATTTGATCTAAACCTGAGAGGGGACAGAGAACTAAAGTATACAGCTGTTGGCCACCGTCTGTTATTGCATTGAAATGGGAAACTGCATATGGGTCAATAAATCCAGGCATTGGTCATAAAGCTTGTTTAGTTTGCATAATTCCTTGATAACACAGAGAACACAGTGAGGCAGATGGACGAGCAGTAAAAGTGATTATGCAACTTTAACTCAAAGGTTGTAAACTGTTGAATGAAAATGGTTGTTGTATTCAGACCCTTGAGGGTCTTTCAGAGTAAACTGAGTTCTCAGAAAAAAATTAATCACAGTTTTATTTAACAGAGTGCTACCAAGGGGGGCTGAGCGGGGGCCTGGTACAATTGCTTTCTGTATATCTTTCAATTCTCAGACCATTTCTGCAGCGTAATACACAACTTGGTTGTCCATCATGTTTAGTATGTTGGGGACACTCATGTTATTGGTCTTGCAGTGTGCTGTTAACTTGTGTAACCTAAG